TCTGCTTGCAACGCTCCTACCAATGTAGCCCAGTATGCCATTAGCGTTCTTCGCAACAAGGGCACACTGTTGGCTCATATTCAACTTCATGTCCACAGTAACCCGCAGGTCCTTTTCTGCAGAGCTGCTGCCCAGACAGTCAGCCCCAGCCTGTACCACCGGTGCATGGGATTGTTCCCTCCTAAGTGCAGGACTTTGCACTTGTCATATTTCTTTTGGTCCAATCTTCCAATCTGTCAAGGTCTCTCTGAATCCTAACACATCTGCTACTCCCCCCAGCTTGGTGTCATCTGCAAACTTGCTGATGGTGCAATACATCCCATCTTCCAGGTCATTGTTGAAAATATTGAAAACCGACCCCAGGACTGACCCCTGGGGCACTCCACTTGATACCAGTTGCCACCTAGATATCGAACCATTAATTACTACCGTTTGAGCCCGATGATCCAGCCAGTTTTCTACCCACCTTACAGTCTATTCATCCAGCCCAGGCTTCCTTAGCTTGCTTCTACGATTGTTGCGGAAGACTGTATCAAAAGCCTTGCTAAAGTTAAGTTATATCAGGTCCACTGCTCTCACTGCATCCAGAGAACCAGTCATCTTATCATAAAAACCAATCAGGTCGGTCATTTCCATATATCCAACATTCTGTTAAAATCTTGTTTTCCCAAAACTTAAATTTTGGGTGAAATTTGACCCGACTGCACACCCTTAAAGAGTAAAAATAAGGAAAAAAATGAATAGATACATTTACTCCACCTCACCTCCCTAATTACTTTCTCCACCAACTACAAGAGACAGATTTCATTGGGATGTGAGCATCTATTTACTCTTAAGCATTGCTAGCACAATCAGCTTCAACCTGGAAACAAACCACTCCAAAGCTTTACACAGAACAGGTGGAAGACATAAACTAGCCACGTGAAGGACAACTTACTTGATGGTAACCACAAAAGAGAACAGATTTAATTATTATTATAGGCATATTTAGCTGTAGATGCTCATTTCAAAGGGAGAAAAACCCTTCAGGATGAAGGGTAAATGTAGGATGGGGAATCTAGTAGAGCTGCTATAAGGACAAAGGGTTTGGTTACTTGGATGACACGACAACCAACAGACAGAACTCTGCAGACCCCAGACTTCTTGACATTTCAAAATGGTTGCAACATCTCCTACCAAATGTGAAGTCAATCTCTTTTAAAATAATGCATCTCTGATCTCATTACCTCCTTGAAGAGCCTGGCAGGCAACCTACCTAGTCATTCTATTTATTTTCATTAGCAATGAGTCCAGTCAACAGAAGATGGGCCAAAGGAAATAGCATGCCAAGACCCCTCCCTTTTATTCCACAGGAAGTGAAACATCTAAACTGAAACGTGCCATGAACTAATGGTGCAAACTCCATGAAGTCCAAAGCTTCCTGAGCAGGAAATGCTGGTTAATTATACATTTGAATAACAGCTGCCACATGTATAAAACAAATGGTTTCCAATACAGGAAAGATCATTTAAAAGTGGCAGCTAACAAAGTCATCTGAGTTATAATTGTCCAGTTGATCACTATGACTTAACCATCTGATGATGAATGCAGTTACCATGGTTCATTATTCTGTCTATGAAGTGAGAGAAAAATGGGGGAAGGTATTGGAGGGATGGTTTTTCACATTGTAAAAACAAAAACGACCTCTTGTGAATTAAAGTAAAAGGGCTGATGTCTTAGTGTTTTAATGAACCTCTTAAAGTGGAGGTGACCTGCTGGCTAGACTGCCATGAGGGATCAAATTACCAGGTCAATTACATCTAATTACTTGTACTTAAATTTTAAACCCAATGAATTATTGGGCAGAGGGGCTTCCTCCCACTGACATCAGTCTACAGAAGGATGCACTGAATTTCACGGGACTGAAGGAAGATGATACCTACCATTACCAGCCCTTTGCCCCAGTCACTAAAACCTAAACCTTGATTAGAGAAGACAATTTGAGAATTAAGAGAATTTAGAAGATTAGTGAGCAAGTTATGCCCAGGCTATTAATTAAATACCTTACTAAAACAAGACTTTAGTAATTATTCTGCCATCACATCTACTGGATACACAGAAGATGACCTATTAGCATCTTTTCACTTCTGGTCCATTAAAACTCTTTATAAAACCTGGTGCCTGCAAGATTATTTCCAGGATCTATTTAATTTGTGTTGGACAAACTTGTTTTTTTGAAGTGGCAAAAAAGCCACTGAAAAGCTATACACATGAATAACTGAAATAGTTATTTAGAGACAAAGAGCCGAGTCCAATTTTATCAAATACCGAAGCAGCATTTCTTAAAGTTCATTTTTTTTGTGACTCCCAATAATTTTTCAACTTTTTCAACGAATATTTGGCTCAATCTCAACGATGCTGTCTTTTACTGTCATCATGCCCCATCACAATAATTTTTTTTAAAGTCTAATCAAGTTCAGGTGGGTTCATCTGAGGTACATTTGTTAAAAACAAGAGAGGACTGCAGTTCAAGCTTAAGACAAGATTACACAGATTTATATGAGGTTCCAAGAGAGTAATAAGGATGGAATTGCTTTTCCTTTAGTTAGCTACCATTAGAGAGATGTACTGCTGAGCTTTGAGCATCACACTGATGCCTGGATTACAGATATTGGTATAATGCCAAAAATTCATTTTTTTAGAGCCTGGTAACCACACAGAACTGGGGGGTGGGAAATCACAATAGTTACAAAGATGTTCTATCCAACATTGCTGGGTTTTATGTATGTAATTAATATTAGATTGTGCACATTGCTGCTACTGAATTAAACTAAAATGGACTGGATGTCTCATTTAAACACAATCACTAATGATAAAGGATGAATCACTCAGTAGGGCTGGGGTGGCTCTATATGAGCAAAGAAGCATGTTCATTTTCTATTATATATGCCACCTCCAACACTTTCAAACTGCATTTAAAAAAATCTGCCAGTATATGTCATCTTCAGCCCTGACACTGAAGGAATTTTCTTTGCTTGTAGATGTTCTTGAATACAGAACTATTTCACATGAGAGGAAAGGATCCTTCACAATATTGAATCATGGGAGAAAAGCGAGTTGAAGTTTTACGTGCAAAATCAATCGCCGAGAGTGAGAACTACGGTACTTTTCTTAAAGGGACACTGACGTTTACCTATAGCAGAGGTGCTTGATCTCTGGCCCCCAGAGCAATGACATCTGGCCCACAGGACTCGCCATGGTCAGGAAATATGGCTCTGCGGGAGCACTGGCAACACTGTCACCCTTCCCCAACTCCAAATCCTACCCCGCCCCCGGCAAGGCTAGGTCAGAGCTGGGCCACACTCCCTCCCCATCCACTACTGGGGTTGGGGCAAACCACTGTTCCTCCTTTCCCTCTCCCCCAACAAGGGCCACGTCATGCCCCCACGTATCTCTGCCCAGGGTTGGGGCCAGGCCACACCCCTGTCCCATCTCTCCATCCCACCCCTGACAATGCTGAGCTGGGGCCAGGCCATGACCCTGTCTTATTTCCCCCCACCCCCCACAAAGTCAGGTCAGGGACAGGCTATGCCCCCTTCGCCCTTCAGGGCCAGGATGGAGCTACGCCATGCCCCCTTCCCTGCTCCCCCTACAGAACTGGGTCAGGGCCAAGCCAAGCACCCTTCCCCTGTGCAGCAGGATGGGGCTCCACCACACCCAGCCTGGGTGCCAGGTTAGGCCCATCAGCCAGATCAGGCTCACTGGCAAAAAAGGTTGGGTGCCACGATCTACAGTGACTTATCTGCCTCCAAGTTACCTTTGAAATTGAGGCTTGTACCCCTCTGCTGGACAGACAGGGTAATTCGATGTGTAAGAAAGAATGAACACTGATCCAACGATATCAAAAAGACAGACAACTTGTGGCAGAACTTTAACCTTCCCAGACACTCCATCAATGACCTCAGAGTAGCTTTTCTTAGATGACAAAACTTTGAAAACTAGCTTGAACAGCAAATCAAGGAATGAGAAATCATCCACAGACTGGATTGTGTTAAGTATTGTCTAAATATAAATATCGACTACAGATTCTTATCCGATTACCTGGATTAGCTTTTATAAACCTTATGTCCCTCAATGGGTTAATTGCTCTGTTTTTCTCTCTCCTACCCATCTTGCTTCTTTCTGCCATTTCCCCTCCTTTTTCCTCCCTCATTCCCTATCCTTTGTATTCTAATCACTGCTTTCTATTAAGCAGCTCTGCTTCCTGCAGTCCTTTCACACCATCTGATGAAGCAGGCATTCTGCTTACAAAAGCTTATGCTCTACTTCTCTAATTTAGTTAGTTTAAAGGTGCAAATCTCCCCTGCCTTATTTTTGTATCACAATGTCACGTTAAAAAAAAAAAATTATATGGTATTTTCTTTGCATTTATTAAGACCAGTGCTCAGCACCTCTCAAGAGCAGCGTATCTTCTATTCCCTTTTGAGTGAAGTTACTCAGCAACTTGCAAGATCAAACCCAAAATGAATTGAGTAAAAGGAAGCTAAGAAAAAAAACCTGTGAATGCTTTTTGTGTGAAAAGTGTTTCAGATTAACAGACCTCCAAAAACAGCATGTAACTGTCTAAATGCCTGGTGCAAGTGATTAGATGGAGAAGATGCAATGTATCCAAAGATAGTACATGTTTAAGAAGGCTGTTAATAGATCGCTATGTTAGTATACTACAGATGCCAAGGCTCCATTAATACTCTATCATGCTAACAGGCTTGTTCTTTTTGGAACATGCTAATAAAATGCTGAAAAAAGGGATGGGATTCTTATGGAAAGGCTAGAATTTCAAAAGACAAGTTCATACACCAGGGTAAAATCTTGATCTCAAAATTTCTCATTCATTTCAGTGGAGTTAGGATTTCACCCAAATTATGGTTGATTCCAACTTTTGTAATGGTGACTGTACATTGTAGGCTATAGTGAACAACAGATCGGACAAGCTTCAGCAGAATAACTCGCGATATAAATACCTTGTCAATGGCTTTCCCAACTCTGGAAACACTGCTGTGAATGTCTTTATGATCCGAGGCCAATTTTTGAACTGTGTCTTTTATTCTTTTACAGCACTGTGTCATAACAAGTGAAATCGTCCCTGACAAGTCTCCATCTTGGTCTAGACAGAAGAGAGGAAAATGAATTAATAACTATGTTATAAACAAAATGATAATGTGAAATCCCACAAATGTGACAATGTATTAATAGGGGGAATTGAAACAGAAAGAATGAAAAGATATGAAATACAGGAAGTCAAAAGGAAGGCTACAAAACATAGGCAAAGCACTGCCAATTTAAAAAAAAATTAAAGCCTTTTGGGACATCCACTAACATCTTATTAAGAAACTAATCTTGCTACTCCAGGTACAAATTGACATGAATAGAATATAGCAGGTTTAGTTTGTTTTGGGTTTTCTTTGCTGCTGAAATCATGGTAATGATAAAGTATGCCATCATTGTGCCTTATTAGATCTTAAGAAACTAAAAAATAACCCTAAAATAAAAAATAAAAAAAAATGTATTTAAAAATAAATAATCTTCTGTTGCAGAATGCAACAGAAGATCATATCTTGATGGCCTATCATTTATATTGTCCTCAGAAGATATATTCATGTATTACTGCATATGCATGAACACACAGAGGCACACACAAAGATCAGTTTAAATCCCCAGTACCTGGAGCCCTATGTAGCCATTTTATACCAGTGCAAAGAGAACGAGAAGCACCACCTTATGATCGGAAAGCTTTTTAGTCAAAACAAAGTGCATAACATGATATCAGATCTCCCTATTCCCAGTCCTCTGTTTAAATAATTAAGTCATCAAGTTTCACACCCGCATCCACGGAGCATTGGAGTTCCAGACTAGTTGCCACAGGTATGTTATATGTTTACCATGGGTATGCTCGAAGAATAAGATCAGGATCAAAAGGTTTGCGATTCCCTAAACTGTACCATGCCACAAGGCCAGTGACACCCACTATACTTCAGTTTCGTTAATTTAAATTCAGGAACACTTTATCCTCCAAGCATGTTTCATATAAGAGGGTTTCCCTCATCATTTATTCCTCCCTGTTCATGAGATGGATGAAATGCTGCAATCTAGTTCCAATGCCTAACTCATATAACAATGCATCTGTGTGTGTACCTGAGGGCTACTTTAAATGAGAAACTTATCCACCATCCAGGGGAAATAATTGAGAGACAGAATCACAGAAGAGTCAAACCATTTTAAATAAGCCCACCCCTAAACTTACTCTCTATTTCCTTCTCAGACTATCCTTTAATGTACTGTTAGTTCAATCAGTGTCACAAGCCAATTTCCCTTCCAGTATTTCAGGCCATGCAAAACATAACAAAGCAACTGTCACAGACTCACAAGTGTGTGAAGAAGAGAAACACAAAACAGGACTCCTGTGCTGCACTGCCCCTACTAATAGCATCTTGCATTCTCTTAAAAAAAAAAAAAAAAAAAAAAAAAAAAAAAAAAAAAAGAGAGCAAGCACTATGAGAGAAATCAAAGAAGTGTCCCAATGGAAAGAGTTCAGCTCTGATCAAGAGTGGGTAAAACTTACAGCTCCATATTTCAAATACCTGCTCAACTCTGTTTTATTTTACTAACAAAAAACAACTGTTATTGCCCTTAGCACTTCCTAACCTATAAAGCTCAGAAACAGCAAGCCTTCCCATTCTACTGGAAGCCTGTCCCACAAGCTCCAGCTGTACACAAATACATGACATATATTTGTTTTACAAATGCGCATCCATGTTTAAAGAGGTGTGTCTATTTTAATTATGTTAAAATATTAGATGGGCATCTGTACGTCTCATGAGAAAATAGATTTGCACCAAAGGAGGCATCACCTCACTGAACGTCTGTGGGCATTTACAG